CTACTGAAGAATGAAATATGAAAACAACATCCACAAATCTTTTTTCTATCAATAACACACATTGATTATGTAGTTTTAAATCTTCTAGAGATCTTGGACCATTCCAGATAGGCCATTCTGAGTTGTGATGCAGTGCGTATATGAGCTTATTTTTCAGTATTTCAAGTTATTTAGTAATTACAGGGATTTATAGTATTCAAATGAGTATAAATAATATTTTTAGGAGGTAATTTTAGCAGAAGATTGTAGAAAGGATGAGAAATAATAGGCTATTAGTGACTAACAAGTTTTGAAAATAGCATGTTTTCTGATATTTGCAGCTCTAATTGAAAAAAAATACAAAGCTTTGTTACAGGGAGTGCCTCTGAATTCTTGGTTGACACTGATGTAGTAAAAATGAGTGTTCTTTTTAATGTTGAGTCTCTACATTTATTTTAAAAATTAAATTCTGACGATTTCAGAATTACAGAGAAATAATAAGAATAATACAATAAATTTTCACATAACCTCTACTCAGATTTCCTCAGTGTTAAGATTTTTATCATATATATTATAACAAAGATATATAAGTGAGACATCTGAGATTAAGTTATAGGCATGATATCCCTTTTACCCTTAAGTATCTTCTTGTATATTCTTCTTTTTTTTTTTTTTTTCTTAAAATCTGTCAGAGGGCATGTGTGCTTGGTGGAGAGAGACAGAAGGAGATAAAAAAGTGAGAAAGCACCCCCTCCCCATAGAGAATGGCCATCCCATAATCCCTTCTTTTCCATATCTCCCTACTTTGGGGATTTTGGGCACACACACGGGCCCAGCATGTTTCTCAAGCCACTGCATCTAGATTCAGCCACCTTAACCACCATACTGGAGACTGGCCCTTTATTGTATATTTTCTCAAAACAAGGACATTTCTATAATCATAGTACAATTTTTTAAATCAGAAAATCGACATTTTAGACCATTACTAATGTGCGGACCTTATTCAAATTTTAGTATTCATTTGTATTGTCCCAGTAATGTACTTTATAATAAAAGAAAACCTTGGATTTTTCCTTGCATTCAGTTTTTATGTCTCTTTTAGTCTCTTTTAGTGAGGAACAGCTCTTCTTTAATGTTTTTTTGCCATTTTAAACAGTGTCAGTGGGACCAGCAGAGGATGTAATGGTTACGTTGCCAGACTCCCACATAGTTGTTCGAGTCCTGGAGCTGGCGGCTTAACACTCAATGCCAGGCGCGTGTATGTGTATGCCAAAAATCTCAAAAGAATAGAGAAGAAGGGATTGTGCCATGGCCATGACCTCTAGGGGGTGATTTCTTGCTTTCAGTCTCTCCCTCTTCTCTAGGGGGTGATTTCTTGCTTTCAGTCTCTTCCTCTTTATCTCTCTGGTGTGCACATGTGCCCTATAGCACAAATCTCTCTTAGGAAAAAAATAAATAAATAGAACATTGGCAGTTTTAATAGAACAGGCCAGTTATTTTAGATGTCCCTCATTTAGGTTCAGCTAGTGCTTCCTCGTTAAGTTCAAGGTACGTGCTGATAAGTATATGGAAAAATGCCCAACATTACTAGAAATGCAAATTAAAACCACTACACAGTTTAGAATGACCACTATAGAAAAGATAAAACTTAATATCAAGTATTGGCAAGGATGTGGAGAAAAGAGAACTATGGATGGTAAGAGTATAAATAAGTGCAGCGATTATAGAAAACAGTGTGGAGGTTCCTCAAAAAATTAAACATAGAACTATCATAGGATTGAGCAGTTCCATTACAGGGTGAATATCCAAAGCAAATGTATCAGTGTGTTGGAGAGATTTCTATACTCTCGTGTTTAGTGCAGCACCCTTCACAATTGTCAAATATGGTATCAGCCTAAGTGTTCATCGTGGATGAATGGATGAAGAACATGTGATCTATAAGGGGTCTTCAAGAAGTTCATGGAAAATGCATATTATGAAGAAACATAATATACATGCAAAGTTTGTGAGTGTGTATGCCAACCTAAACTCCTACTTTAATTCCATTTTGCACCGACCTTTTGAAGTCCCCATCCTACAAATCCTGTGTTATACAGGTATATGGGCGAACCTGGTGTACATTATGCTAAATGAAATAAGGCAGGCACAGAAAGATCAATACCGTGTGATCTTGCTTGTATGTGGAAGCTGAAATGCCGAACTCGTAGAAGTACAGAGTAGAACGGTGATTATCAGCTCCCTGGGAAGGAGAGCGGGGAGAGGATTGGGGAGGCGGTGACCAAATAATATAAAGTTCCTGTTAGACGGAGAAATAAGTTCAAGAGATCTATTGTACACAAAGTGATTATAGTTAATAACAAATATATTGGTATTTTTGAAAATTACTAAGAGAGTAGGTTTTACATCTTCTTACTGCAAAAAAAAATGATATGTGAGGTATAATGCATGTCACATAGGTCGATTAAGCCATTTCACAATGTATATGTATTTCATAACATCAAATATCGTGTTGTGCTCAGTAAATACATACAATTTTTGTCAGTTAAATAATTAAAATGACAGGTTTGCATTTTAAAAGAATTACTTATTTAATTGTATTTATTATTATTTTTAAAAATTTGACCAGAGAGAGACAAGGTTGTGGGGGAGGAGTGAGAAAGCAAGCTGCCAGATCTGGGACTTGAACTGGTCAGCCATGCGTGAGTCCAGCACCTTAACCACCGTGCCACCCACGGGTCCCCCAGGGTTTGCATTTTTGGCAGATACCACAGAAGTGGTGTTTTCTTCTAAGCTCATCATGTTTGGAGGCACATAACGTCTGTATGTCCTGTTACTGGTGACGCGAACTTTGATTATATGGCTAAGGTGGTGTCTCTCAGGTTCTTTACTATGAAATTACATTCTCCTTTTGTAATTAGTAAGTATATTTTTATGAGGAAAATGCTTTTGAGACTCTGAAGGTAATTTGTCCTCCTAGTTTAGCAAACATGATTGATTCTTGCCTGAATCAATTACTTCTGTGATGACTGACAAACATCGATTTTTAAATTCTATTACTCCTTCTTAATTAGGTGGCATTATTTTGTAAGCAGTTGCTTCAGCCTTTCCACTGCTTATTAGTTTATGTCTTTATGGACTCACATGTTCTTATTTAATGGGTTATAATCTGTTTCTCTCCGGTTGTCCCAAATGTTGCCACTAGGAACACATTCAAATTAACTTGTGCATGTATGCATTCTTCTTTGAATTTACTTTTTTTTCGGACAAAAGATGTTTTAGGCTCAGTTCCTACGTTCCCAGGTCCAGCTCTGAAGTCATCCATTTCTCTAAGTTACTCTGATGTCCTTAAATGGAGAATGGCTTTCAAAACCAAGATTGGTGTAGATTAGTTTAACGTGTTTACTTAGAAATGTTAAGACTGGAATGTTCTGGAAACATTCATCATTTTCTTCCAAGATCTGATAGTTATCTTAGTTCTTAAAACTTACCTGTATGATAACACAGAAATGTAAGAATGACTATCAATCTAAGCACTTCTACTTAATTTTCTTTGCATCATCTGATAGAGACATGCCACTTGCTCGGTGTTATGAGAAGTACTGGATGACTCAGTGCAATGGAGACGGGAAGGTGAGGTCATGAATATTCCTGCAAAATGGTGACTTAGGGCCAAGAAAAATACTTGGTTGTGGATATGAGTATTCAGACTCTGCCAAGTATCGGTCGCCCTAAATTTCTGTGATAGCCTTTTATTTTTTAGGTGTCACATATACATATAGCTAAGTCAGTACCTTTTTTTGGATGAGAATAGTGTTGCTTGCCATGTTAATGCAATATTGAACGAGGCTAATTCCCTCTCTGTATTGTTATTCATAAATTATAGGGTTTTTGTTCAATTAAATGTCTTATTAATGTTCTCATAGGCTATTTAAATGTTACATATAACTAGAAGGAATATTAAAAATTTTATGAGTAGGGGACCAGCAGATGGAGTAATGGTTACATCGCTGGACTCCCACATATTCAAACGCGGTTTGAGTTCTGGACCCAGTGGTTTAAAGCTTACACCAGGCATGTGTGCGTTCATGTGCGTGTCTAAAATCTGAAGAGGAGAATGGAGGAGAAGGGATTGCAGTGTGGCTATCACCCCTGGGGGGTGATTTCTTGCTTTCTGTCTCTCTCTCTCTCTCTCTCTCTGTTGAGCACATGCACCCTATAGCAAAAATCTCTTAAAAAATTTATGAGTAAGCCCTGAGGATTAAAGGGAAACTTTAAGAAAAGGAAACTATTAAATAAGTTTGGGCTAATGTATTTTATCTTTGAAATTCTGAAAAATCAAAAAGTAAAAGGTTTTCATTTGAAATCTCCAGATTGATGTGCACAGTTTCATTTTTAAAGTTCACACTATGTCAAGAACCAGTTGTAGATGAAGTGTAATAGTATGGTAGAATTATCAAAGTATGTATTTGGAAATGGGAAGAGGAAGTCTTTATGTAATGAATGGACTCTCTGGGTATAGTTTGTTGTCTAAATTGGTTATACTTGAAGCTTTAAGTTAGAAGTTGGATTTGAAAGATTATAAACTTGATCTCTGTATCTTTCTTCATTAAATTATTTTTATTGTAGGCTGAAATATTTGTCTTTAAACATTTTTAATATTATATAATTTAAATGTTTTTCTGCTCAAGGGCTAGTTTTCTTTCTTTGACAAATTCAGTCATTGGTAAAATGCCCCAAAGGATCTTTTCTACAAATACATATATATTTGTGTGTTTATTTGAAATGTTTTTATTTTGATTTTTTTTTTATTCATGCTAGATCACATGTGCCTGAGAGAAAAGGGAGATTAGTCTTCTGGATAGGGTCTGGTCATGCCATGATCCCCTGTTCCCAGTCCTCTAGCCCATCTGATCTTAGGCGTTCATGTGTTTCAGGCAGACCAGGCCAGCGACGGAAACCCTCATCACCACCCTCAGCTTCTCCTGAGCAGCACGTTACCACTCTACTATGGAGCCCGTTCTACAAATAGATTTTTAGGCCTCGCCATTTATTTTAAAAAATTACATATTTTTTTAGCACTACATTGTATTTTATAATTGGACAGAAATCTTATTGGCTTATTTTAGGTAAATGTAAAATACTAAATTTTTAAAGATAAAATTTATTGATGATGTTTATAGTTGTAAAGGTCCTCATTTTGATGAAGATTATGGCCAAGGCAAATACCAGCTGTAGTTGTTCAACTAAAATAATATTAAGGAAAAAAGTACCTACTTAGTATTATTTAATTTGTTGATAAATATATTAAGGTTTTAGTCCTAGACATTTTATAAATTTATTAAATATGGGAAGTTTAACGTGTGTTTGTCTCTGTCTGTCATGGAAGGAATAAATAAACTGAAAAAGAAACCTGATTTTTTGTACTTATAAAGAAAAGAGTACAAGCTAAAAAAAAAATAAGCTTGGGACCAGCAAGTGTCATGGTAATTAGAGCCTTGGACTCCCACAGGGCCTACAGCAGTTTGAGTCCCAGTCTTGGATGGAGGCTTGCTTTTTTACTTCTCCTTCCCTCTCTCTCTCTCCTTTCCTTTGTGTCTCCTTAGTGATAATAATAGTAAATCAAAAATCATTCTAAAAAGAAGCTAGAAACGCGTGGTGCTGAGGATCAGGACGTAGCTCTTGGTCACAGGCGGTGTTTCACTGATAGCTCAGTTACTGACTCTTGTGTGGCCTGGCACCCAAGTGCTTTTCAGCCTGTACTTAATTAGTGGTTGAGTTGTTTGTAATTAAAAAATATATATAAAAGAGTAAACACGCTTGGGCCAGCAGGTGGCATGGTGTTTAAAGTGCTGGATTCCCACATGACTGACTGTGGTTCAAGTCCCAGACCTGGTGGCTTGAGAATCATGCTGACTGGCCATGTGTGCATCCATGCCCAAAATCCTGAGAGGAGAATGGAGAAGGGATTGCCCTGTTATCATCCCCCCGGGGGTAATTTTTCACTTTTCATTTCTCTCTCTCTGGTAAGTGCACGCTCCCTGCGGCAAAAATACAAACAAATAAACAAAAAAGTAAATACTCTCAAATGAGGACTAGCCTTAGAAGTTTAATTTAGAAAACCACAGTATGTATCATAGTTGGATAAAAAAATAAAAATAGTAACACAGAATATGAAGAGGAAGTATATTTTATGGGTATAAAAAATTGAGCATTCGGGCTGGCAGGTGCATGATGGTTAAGGGTGCTGGACTCCCATATGGCCAACTGCGATTTGAGTCCTGGACCTGGTGGCTTGCTTTCTCTCTCTCTCTCTCTCTCTCCCTCTCCCTCTCTCCCTCTCTCCCTCTCCCCTCCCCCGGTCAAATTAAAAAATATATAAAAATTAATTTAAAATATTGAACTTGACTATGTGGAGCTTAACTATTTTTATCTTTCCATAATGGGCACAGTAAAGGGAAATATCTGTGATCTACAAGGTAGAATGAAGACAGAATTTAATCTCAGGAAATAGGATTTCTAAGCACTTTCTAAGCATTTCTACAGGAATACATACATCCTCAATTTTGGGCTTTAAGCCTTTTGCCTATGGCTTTGGAGAAGTGCTGCTTTAGGGAAGTGAATACTTATGAAAGTTAAACAGCTTGGACGTGGCAAATGGCAGAAATAAAAGTGTGGAATATCTTGGGTGATTTTTGAAGCATCTCTAGTGTTTGAATGCACGTGTCTGGCATAGGATGAATGACATGAATCAGCAATGATTATTTAAATTGCATCTTTACATTTTTGCAGAATTCTAAAGTTCCTATTACGTCAGACGATGGATGAGCAATCACAAGGAATGCAAGGGCCACCTGTTCCTCAGTTCCAACCACAGGTAATTTATTCTAATTATATGGGCTTAACTGTGTGTGTGTGTGTGTGTGTGTGTGTGTTAAATGTGTATGAGTAAAGAAATAGTGCGTTTATTGCTCTTTTAGGAAATAAAGTAGCCAAAAGAAACCGATTTAGAATTACCAAGTTGAGTCAGAACTGGTTTAAAATATTGTTTTATAATGCATAATTTTCATATACAGACATGACGATGGAAGGCTTAGCTTTTAACTTTATTTGAATGACTCATACCATTTAAGGGTTAATGGTAAGCTGGCAGAACAATACCAGGTGAGGCTGCACATAGGCGCTTGTGTACGTTGTACTTCCCTCTGCTTTGGCGGCTGAGCTTGCCTGGCCCACAGCTGCCTTCATTACTGTAAGCTTTTCTCTCTGTCTCCAACTAGACTAAGTGTACTTCTCCTGTTAGGTAGTTGCTTGTTTCTCGTAACTTAAAATGAAGTAGGAGAATGTGTTAGTTAAAAGGGAAACTGCTTATTTAACATCCTGTATTGGTTAGGAATGCTTGTAATTAAGTACAGTATATAAAGACATGTTTAAAATGCCAGATGTCCCAGTGTGGGGGGCAGTAACTTATTTTTATTGTTGTTTGTCACAAAGACTGTTATTTCTTAGTTTGTGGTGGAGACATTCTATAATGTATCCTAAATATAACCTGCTAGTCTTGTTGTCCCAGATGTGCTTGGACAGTGTTTCTTAACTTTTTAAAATTTTTTAAAGAATTATTTAATTTATTTTGATTTGACCAGAAAGGGACAGAGTGAGACAGATAGGGACAGAGAGAGAGAGAGAGACAGATAGAGAGAAAGAGAGAGGAAGTGAGAAAGTAAGCTGCCAGGTCCAGGACTCGAACCTCCGTCAGCCATGTGGGAGTCTAGCTCCCTTAACCACCACATCACCTGCCAGCCGCTTGGACAGTATTTCTGAAAGTGTCTGAGACACTGTTCTTTGCAGTGAGCTCTGTAGTCACGTAGGTTTGGGACACTTGGATCACCTTTGGGCACACAGTCGCTCCATGGCAGCCCTTCCTTGGAGCCTATCTTAAACTCATGGTCATTGTGAATTTTGAAGAGGGAAATGCAGATGTTGGGGGTAGTGATTTCCAAATGTATTCACCTGTGGAAACCTGTTTTTAAGTGCATCTGTCGACTTTTTCCAGAGGCTCAGCGCTGGGAGTACTGCATACCGACAAACTATGTTTCTGCCTCTGTGTTTGCTCATTTTGCCCCCTCTAGTTTCCCTCCCACTTTTAACTCCTACTCATCCTCAAGGGTCATCTAAAATGCACTCATTCCGCACTGCTGGTTCTGGTCTTCTGACTGTCTTACCTTTCCTTGGAAACTCGACAATGTGTTGCTTACATCTCTGTTCTGGTTTGTCTGACGCGTCTGTGTCATAGTTACACAGACTTTTCCCTCCTGTGCTCTGTTCTCAAGGGCAAGGACTGTGTCTTCCTTACCTTGGCTGGCCTTGGTACTTCAGTGCCTCACATGTTGCAGGAGCTCAATAAGAATATGTAATTGAGACCAGCCAGAGACTTCCTAAAATGAACCTTTCATTTAGCCCCACACTTGGATTTTTTCATTACATTTCTTGGTTATACTTACCTGAAATCTCTGAATTGAGTAAAGAAAACTCTTAGCCCAAAGTAAGGTCAACATTTTAACTTCAAAAAGATTTGCTGAATTGAGTAAAGAAAACTCTTAGCCCAAAATAAGTTCAGCATTTTAACTTCAAAAAGATTTGTTTTTTTAAAAAATATCTACCATCTGTATTTTGTGTTATGATCATATATTATGAAGATTATAATAAACAACCTCCCCTTATTAGACATGAATGTATCTTAGTGCCAATTTTATACACATATGCAGGCATGATTGTTTCATAATATATTGTTTCTTTTCTTCTTCTTTTTTAATGAGAGATTTTTGCTATAGGTTGCGTGGACTCGTCAGAGAGACAGGGAAAGACAAAAAGCGAGAAATCACCCCAAGGGGAATAGCCATGCCCCCATCCCTTCTCCTCCAGTCTCCTCTTGGGATTTTGGGCATGCACACACGTGTGCCTGGTGTGAGTTTAAGCTGCTGATCCAGGACTCAAACCATGGTTGACTGCGTGGGAGTCCAGCAATGTAACCATTACACTGTCTGCTGGTCCCCAGAATATATTGTTTCTAATAGAGACAATAAAAGGGTACCTCTGAAAATTAGGTAGTTCATATTCTGATACTGAAATTCTATTTTGAACAGCCCTGTGTTTTAAAAGAAAAACAAGAAAACACTTTCATTTTTGCCTTCTACTGACTCGCCAGTGAGGAAAGGTCTGAGTCAAGAGTACTAGGCAAAAATGAAATAATTGCTGTCCTTGGAGACACCGTCTCCGTTTCAGAATGGTAGCAGAGCTTCTGCATGTCTCTTCACACTGTTCCTTTTGCTGTGCCTCCTGCTGCTGCTCCCATGCAGTGACTTCTCTCCCTGTGGGAGGTAGGTAGGTGACATCCCAGGTTCCAGTCACCCGAAGTAAGAGGGGAAAAGGAGAAGGGTTTTCCCCTTCCCTGCAGTCAGACCGATGGTGTTCAACAGTGAAAGAAAGATTACTGACAAGAGCTTACAGGCCTTATTGCTTATTAAGTCTTTGAAATATGTTTCCGCTCTCAGCAGCATTATTTTAAAAGACTGAGAAAGGACAGTCTCTGTTTGGGGTTGACAACATTTTTTTTGTTTTGTTCCACATCATTGGCCTGAATAATGGGAGTGGCATGGCAACAGATGAGTGGCCTAGTGATTTCTCTCACTTCAGTGCTGTGTCTAATACAGTCTGGACGGGAACAGAAAACTGAGGAGTCGGATCCTAAGTGTCAGACACCAACCCCTGTTCTAATGACGAGGGGCGGACATTCTTGGCATGTCCTTTCTTTTTCTTATTTCAGGCTGAATACTCTGACTGTAATGTATAATATTGTTTTTATTCCTTTTTTTTGTTTTAGAATATGAGATTTACATGTCTTTATTATTATTATTATTTTATTTCTGTAATTCTCTTAAACTTAGGGGAATTTTTTTCAGTCAGCTTTTATCTCTTCATCCTTCCTTCTTTGATTACTTTCATTAAAGTCTTGAAGATTTTGAAAAGATATTTTGAGTAAATTTTTTAAAGAGAGATTTTTGTTATAGAGTGTGTATGCTCACTAGAAAGACAGAGAGTGAGAGAGAGTGAGAAATGTTCCCTCTCCCCGTGCCCCCAGGGACTGGCCATACTGCAGTCCCTTCTTCCATTCTCTTGGAGTTTTGGACATGCATGCACACGTGCCTGGTGTGAGTTCCAAGCTGCTCGGTCCAGGACTCAGACTGCCGTCTGCGGTCAACCATGTGGGAATCCAGCAGCTTAGCCACTGTGCCACCTGTTGGCCCCCTGAGTACATTTTTATCCTAAATATTTTCATTGTCTTTGGACTCTCGTTTATCAAACAATGGATGTGGACTTTTTAAAAGAAAAATTCAGAGGGGATGACAGAAAAATAGTAAAGTGTGTTTTACTGTAGGACTGATTTTAAACAATGGAAGTTGACAACTAACATTTTGTGAGTATTTTGATTTATGGTTATTGAGTAATAAGGCTATGGCAGATTCACTAAAGTTAAACATGAAACAATTATAATCAAAATGCAGGTCTAAGAATTTTTGAGAACTATTAAGTTTTAATCTTAATAGTTATTTAAATTGAAATAGTGATTACAGCTTATGTTTTTACCTTTCTGGGGGAAAATTTGAAGATAGTGTAATGGTTTGGCTACCTGTGAAATAGGGAGGGAAGTCAGTGCAGTGTCTGGGGGGAAAAACAGACATTCCTTATTTTTACAGTTTGCAAAGCATGAGAATCTTACCTGGGAGTTTTCTAACTCCACCATTTCTTTAAGCTTCCTGACAGCAGAAACTCCAGTCAGTTTGCTTTCTGTCTCTGTGAAGGGAGTGAAAAGAGACAAGGAGATGTTTACCTCTTGTCATGTTCAGGGTTCATCGTGGGCCAGGAAGAAGGCAGCTCCCGGTGGACTCTCCTGAGCAGGTCGGATTTTTGGACATGGTGACTGTCACCTTCCGCTGTGTCCACTTATCTTCCAGAGTTACTATCTCTGTGAAATAAAGCTCAAAAGAAGCCAGCTTGTTTTGTAAATGGAGTTTGCCAAATTATTTGTCATGTGAAATTGAACAGAGCTTTTATTTTTGGAAATCTTCATGGAAATTTAGATGTTACATTCTCCTTGTAACAGTTTACTTCCCTGAAAAACTTTATTTTCTTAAAGTTTATTCCTTTTTTCCCCACCACACACACACACACACACACACAGGCATCCCAACAACAGGGTCTGCGCTCCACTCCCATCCTTAGCCAGCCAGGAGCACAGGCTCTCATGTGCCCAGGGAGAGCCCTCAACTCAAATCAGGAACCTTCCCACGTGGCCTCAGCATCATGGAGCACCGGGTTAGGTTTGTGCCGCTGAGGCTGGCCTGACGGACTTCTTGGTGTAGACAGGAGAATAACAGCAGTTGGAAGGAAAGAAGACTTGCCAGAGTTTAAATCCATGGCCATGAACCTCAAGTGAAGCGGATGCTGTTCAGCAGTCACGTCTATTCACACACACACACACACACACACACACATCTCCAGTTCCCAACTTGACATCCCATTTGCATGTCTCAACTATAATGTGTCAGAAACTGCCCTCTTAAGTATCCCCCCCCAAATTGTTCCACCCACAGTCTTCTCTCTCTGTAGTGACCAAGGCCGAAACTCTTAGAGCCATCTCATCTCATGTCTAATGTTAGAGGATACCATAGGCTCGATCTTTAAACTCTAGAGCTGGAACATTTGTTTTCTCTTCTACCGCCACCACTCTGGTCAGTTACTTTCATTTTTCACCTGTCTTACTGTAGTAGAGCCTTGATTGCTCCCACCCTTACCCCTTCCCCTACAGTCTATTCCCAA